AATCCCTATGCACATCCAAAAACTTCTCCAACAGGATTAAAAGGGAAGTCAGAGACTGGGAAAAAGTATTTGGTAATAACATGTCAGATAAGGGACTTATATCTATAATTTATAAAATAACTCAAGCACTGCAACAAGATAAACAATCCAATTGAAAAACGGGCACAGGATATGAACACTTTACCAAAGATGACTTTCAGATGGCAAACAAACACATGAAGAAATGTTTAAAATCCATAGCTCTAAGAGAGATGCAAATCAAAACAACTGAGATAGCATCTCACCCCAAGTAAGAATAGCAAAATTTAACCGAGTAGCAAACATCAAATGCTGGCGAGGTTGTGGAGAAACTGGAACCTTTATTCACTGTTGGTGGGAGTGTAAAATGGTGCAACCACTATGGAAGGCTGTATGGTGCTTTCTCAAAAAGTTACAAATAGAAATACCATTTGACCCAGCAATTCCACTACTGGGAATATACCCTAAAGAAACCATAACTGCCACCCAAGCAGATATATGTACACCCCATGTTTATTGCAGCTTTGTTCACAATAGCAAAAAGTTGGAAACAACCTAACTTCAACAAATAAATGGATAAAGCAGCTCTGGTATATTCACACAATGGAATACTATGTTGCATTGAAAAACAAGGAACTCATGAAATATTATACAAAATGGATGACCCTGGAGGGTATTATGCTGAGTGAAGTATCTGGAGCGTTGCTCCTGTTGTAAAATGGGATTGACATCAGGGTTGACAGGAGACTGAGAAAGATGGAATAAATAATGTATATTGCATTGAAACAGATGAGGGAGAGAACTATTTCAAAGCGATGTACGATTAGGTATTATTATCATGACAGGAGTCCAGAATGAAGGCTGCATAGTGGAGTGGACTTAGAAAGAGGGGTTGTACAACAATGAAAGAATTTGTCTTCTACTTTTCAAAGAAGAGAATGAATTTAGGGGGAGGGGTGGGCAGGGAGAAAAAAATGCAGCAATGAATGAATAGAAATCCAAAGTCGCCGTAAACCTTCATTAAAATTAATAAAAAAAAACCACCAAAGAACCCCAACATTCTTCATCTTATAAACCTAAATTTGTCCCTCAAAATAGTAACTATCTTCATGAAGAGAAGTTCAAGCTTAGAAAACATCACTCAAACCCTATTAAGGCAAAATGTTTCTCATACCTCTCAGAATGTTAATAGCTCCAAAGATGAACACGCTGGGGTTATAAAGCAGTATTAACACAAGTTTTGGTATACCAGAAAACAAGGGTGAAGAATTCAAACACGATTAAGGAGTTAACGAGTAGCAGAAGTCTTTTGTCAGTGAAGTGGAAAACTTTTCTAAGATTCTCTGAAAGGTTTAAAAGTTCTTTGATAAAGGTTAATTCAGACGTGTACCTAATTTAAACAAAAACAAAACCCAATATTCTTATTTTGAAGATCTGAACTGAAAGGTTCTAAGAACCAACAACACATAATAAATGTGATTACACTGAAATGTCCTAAGACAGAATCCCTATCTCAAGGGATACTAATATGAAGATGGACAGTGACAGCCTGCCCATCAGCTTGGTGGAAGGAAGGCCTGTTGGTCTGTGCTAGTCAAGATGACAGCCAAGAAAACCCTGTGGAACAGTGCTACTCTGTAAGACATGGAATCGCCATAGGTTTGAAGCATTCAACAGTGAAAGTTCAACAGTGAACTTTGGCCTTGGTACAATCAGCAGGGGTCTTTGATCTTCTTTATGCCATGATCTAGCTCTTTGCTTGCACTTGAAATTTGAGAACTGAACTGAAATAATACTTAAGTTTTAATGTTGCAATGAACATAAAACGATGAAAGAATAAAGATAACGGATTTTGAAAAATCAGCAATTTTTTAAAAAATCAAAGAACCTTGAACAAGTATTTTGAGTAATCCTGATTATTCTAGCTGATTTCTATTGTTCATATCACTTTGATAGCAGACTTTTGCATATCATCACATTGTTCAAACTCTAAGCCCATCCATATTAGCCATACACTGTCTCCTGCTTAGAGCCCTTAGTCAGTTGTTGACCTGTGGTCCAAGGACTCTGCTAGAACTGGAAGATGAAGATAGTCCCCCTTGAGATAGGAATTCCACGTGTCATTTATTAATCTTTAAGAGGTAAATTGTAAACATGTACTTATTAAAGAAAATGTGTCTAATTAGATCATAATCAACTGTCTATTATCTTTTCTAATTGATCAAAGCCCTGCCTATTAGAAAAGACAAATGAAACAATTATCTTTATTATTACAAACGAATGACTGGAAAAAGCTAGGTAATAGTTCTATTATCGAGACTCACTGAAATGGCATTATTAGTCCAGTGTAATAACTCTGCCTGAGAAACTGAATTAAGGACCAGAGAAATAATGGAATGTCCCCCAAGATTATAGAAATACATTTTACATGTTTTGATAACTATCACCCTTAAAGTAAAACAATTTAAAAAAAATCCTCCAAAGCTGAGGAACATATATCACCAAATAAAACTCTCTGGTGCTTTCCTAGTGTACTGTACTGTCTGAATGGCATGGAATCAGTGTTCAGATTTGCATTCCTTTGGACCGGCCTGCAAACAAAGTTCCAACTACCACCAGAGTTACTTTAAGTGGAAGCAATACTATTCTCACAGGAGAGATGTAAAGAAACAAAAGTGCCACCTGTTTCTATCACATTATAGCTTACTCCTCTACAAGCAGTGCAGCAGGGATATCAGAACTCACACAGGAAAAGTCAAAATTCATTTCCCTCAAATAGGGAGATTTTGAACTCTTTAAGGTTGTGGCATTCATTTTTCATATTAAACACTTAAGAATATTTGCACATAAATATGGCTAAGATTATAACGAATAGCTTCATAAATATGTCTTAGTCACCTGCTATTCAACCAAGCTGGGTGAAAAAAAAAGAATTAAACAATAATACTAATCATACTGGAGTGAGTTAAGAGAATTAAAATCTTCAATGTAATTTACTTCTCTATAAAAAAGGCAAAGTGCAAAACCGTTTATATGATAAGCCCCTATTCGTGCAAAATAAAAAAAGCTATATACATTTCTAAACATAAGAGAAAATTACAAAAACACATAAAGGCATTTCTAGTAAAACTGAATAGTGAACAAGAACAGGCTGGGGTGGTGGGGGAGGGGAATCCCTACTTTTTACTAAATGATCCTCCATCAGGTTTCTGAGATTGTAAATTTTTATGAGAGGGGACTGCTCATCTTCCTACCATGGAGAAGCTGGTGGATTCCCACTGGCAACCGACTGGTAGCCCAATATGTCTCTCACTGTCTACACTACCAGGGTTCCAATTTCTGTTTAGAGTTATTGTCATCTTCTTTATTCTTTTTACAGATAATGGAATTCAAGTACTAACTGATACTACTTTCCTAAAAGATCTACAAAAGCAAACAGTCAACAAGTACTTTAAAGTAAAGATGAGAAAATAAGTATGCAGGGAAATGAATGGAAATGAACAACCAGAATGGAAATGAAATGCAAACAATGTCACCGAGCAGTCTCTGTACAAACTGCTGAATGAGATCCTAAACTACTGTGTAAACCTTTATCAAAAACACAATTAAAAATATTTTTTAATTTTTTAAAAAAATTTCCAGATATTTTTAAAACAATGTTTTAGTATTTTTATATCTGTAAAATTAATTCCATTTCAATTTTCTATAAATAAGTTCACAAAAAAAATTTTCTACCACACACATTAGAATGCCAATTTTTCAACAAAACCAAGTCATATTAGATATATAATCACAAAACAAATCATAACACTGGGGGGGGAATAAAATTAAAAACATTAGAAAAGGTAATTCAGTTTTTAATTTATTTTCATCTTTTTTTTTTCTTCATGATCCAGATTATTTTAAAATGCAAAAAAATTAACTTTCCATGATATGTCAGGGACTGGCACTAAAAAAAAATTTTCAAACTGCAAATGAGTTATACAAATGAAAATATCAAATGGAGATCCAGTTATCAAAATGAAGCCACTC